TTATTTACAAAACTGCTATACTGATTATTAACGTATACCTACACATTACTATATGAGCAAGTAACGTGTAAATGAAAGTTATTTACTTTAAGTAAATAATTGTGTACGTTTTCTAAATGTTTTACCTATTGTTATGCTCGATATATATATAAGTGAATTAATGATTTGCTATAAAAGCTTACTTGTATTGCTGTTTATGAACCTATAGACCAGATGGAAGGTTACTGTTGCCGGAAAAGCTTACTTGTATTGCTGTTTATGAACCTATAGACCAGATGGAAGGTTACTGTTGCCGGAAAAGTCGTCCTATAGCTTACTAGTAATTCGTCTCTTTGTGTATTTTTGCTGTGTAAACTGTCTCTCTGTTTATCCTCTCTCGCTCAATACATAACGTAAGCTTATACAACTGGATTTCGTGAACTACTTCATGGAAACAACTTTAGAATTGTCCCTTTTTTTATTTTGAGCAAACTTAAAACCATAAGAAGTGCAACAATATATTTGTATTTTAATTTTCAGCATCATAGTTTCTGTTTGTAGAAATGATGAATTGCTTACATAACTTTTTGTTTGTTTGTCGATAAACAAAAGGCCACACACATTGGGCTATCTGTGCTGTGCCCACTGCGGATATTGAAACACGATTCTTAGCGAGATAAGCTTTCAGACTTTCTTGCGCAACTCTTTGATTTTGGATGTGGTTAACAACCCAAGAGAAACAACGTTAAAATCTTCATTCCTTTTTTGAGTAAATTAATATTACAAGAAGAGCGACAATGGATTATTATTTGCACTTGACTTTTCAGCATCAGAACTGCTGCTTGAAGAAATGATGAACTGGTTCCATAACTTTCTGTTTCAGTTTAGAATGCTTTTTCTAAATGATGGTGACTGTTTAGCATACATCCTGCATGGTGATAATAATAATAATAATGAAGCATAGCAGTAAAAGAATCTTAAATGCTTAGTTTGACTTGTGATGTAAACCAGCACTCATCATAACAATCACTTGAGCCTCTTTTATCTAATGATAAAAAAATGTTTACATGTCTTTCAGAAAGGAATTATTTGGTGTTTTGAATGTAAAATATATATATAGCAAATTCCCATCCCAGGGAATGTGTCAGATATTTCCAGTTTGCGCGCACAACTACGAGTAAACGTTGTTCAAGGCCCGGTTTGGCCAGGTGGTTAGGGCGCTCGACTCGCAATCTGAGGGTCGCGGATTCGAATCCCCGTCCCACCAAACATGCTCCCTCTTTCAGCCGTATGGGCGTTATAATGTGACGGTAATCCCACTATTCGTTGGTAAAAGAGTAGCCCAAGAGTTGGCGGTGTGTGGTGATGACTAGCTGCCTTCCCCCTAGTCTTACACTGCTAAATTAGAGACGGATAGCGCAGACAGCCCTCGTGTAGCTTTTGGAGAAATTCAAAAACAAAACAAAAAACAACGTTGTTCAAATGGTACATGCCTTAAATAACCAATGTGACAGTAAGAAGTTAATTTTTGGAATGTTTATATAAAAAAGTGAGTAGACGAGTTGGTTAGATTTTGTCATAATCAAGTGATATCTCATGGATCCGTGAAATGAAACATAAAATGTGAGAGAAGTATGAAGATAATTTAAAAAACAACAACTTATTTCAACATAAGTGTGTTGGTTTAATGATAACTGGCAGAAAATCTATTTTCAACATTTTTATCCTCTATTGTAACTGTAGGCCATTTTATTCATAGTTATTTAGTATGTTTTTTTTCCGCAAGAAACCATATTTTATACTACCAAACAACAAATATATATATATAACAAACACAACTTTATGTTATTGTGACTTGCAGAAATCTATACAATACTTATTTGTTGTTGTTTTTTAGATGTTTGGTGAGTATCTGAAAAGCAACTCGTATTACCACATGACGAGATGATGACGGTCAAGGAGTAAGTTTTTATCTAATTGCTGACGTCCAGTTTGTATACTAACATGTGACAGTCGTGGGAAGAATCAATACAGATTCTCGTAAAACGTCGAGCAACCAAAATATTTGATCATGTCAATTTCGTTGACAGAAGTACCAAAACTATACAAAAAAACAAACGATGTTACTATTTGTTTATTTATTATTTTACAATCACAAGAGTGGGGTATTTAAAACATTTTATTTCACCGATTATGTGAGAAGGGTTTGATTCTAAAGCTACTAAGTTCTTTGTACTTGGCACACCACCAGAGTGATTGTCTTCGTTGATCAAGTAAAATAAATGATACTATATTGTGTAGCTTTGGGCTTAACATCAAACAAAATATATAATTTCTCACTCACAAAGTAGCGTCATCTTTCGTATCTTGTAAGAAGTTGAAAATTAGAAACCTTAATATTGTTTACTAATCTTATGTTTTGCAGTTTAGTAGGTCTTGAGACCACCCTTCGGAAGGTTTCGGTCTCGGACCATTTGGGTCTCGACGATTTTAAGGTCTTGAAAGCGAGACCGGCTAAATTCAAAAGTTTTACCAATATTCAGACGTACCCAGGATTTTTAAGCACTAAATATCGATTACGCAGCAGGTTATAGTGCCTCCCTCATTTTTGCTTACGTCACCAACTGGTACATTACCTGTACATCAATCCACAGTTACAACATGCAATATTCCAAAATAATAGCTATTATACATTGTATTACGCATATTACAAGTTTGTATGAACTTCATCTGGTGCACGTATTTACGTTAAATGTTAGCGATTATCTCTGATATTCAACATGTCTAGTAGATTTGCCGTGATACCATTCGGCTCCAAGGACCATAAATAATTCATTGACACCATAAACTCTTGAAAAACAACAACACTTTTTCTTTTGTTTTATTTGATGACCCTTTGTTATTCATTCGTTATTTCTTTTCCTTGTTTTTGTTTTTTCATAGGAGGAAACTTTAAAACAAAGACTGTAGGGTTAACGTGTAAAAGATTTGCGGTTAAGATGTTAATAAAGTTCGTTTGACGAATGTGGTTTTTATTCTTCTTGCTTTATTTTTCATTATGTAATTTATTACAAGGTCTCGGTCATGGTCTTGACCCCTAAAGTCTCGACTACAACACTGATATTTTGATATACCTTCAGTCAACATTCACAGTTCTTTGTAATGATAGGTGAAATAGTTGACAAAAAATTAATAATTTTGGTACAATTTTATTATATTAATCATTTGATTATCCCATAAGCCCCCCCAGTGCCACAGCGGCATGTCTGCGGACTTACAACGCTAGAATTCGGGTTTCGATACCCGTGGTGGGCAGAGCACAGATAGCCCATTGTGTAGCTTTGTGCTTAATTACAAACAATTATCACGTCAAAATATGTTTGTTTTCAGTTTTTTCTGGTTTTGTGCATTGATAACTGTAGTTTATAGTTCAAAACCATGTACAAAGAGTGACATTTTGAAATGTATTTTTAATAAAATCGATTGATTGAGTTTAAGTTGACAATTTTAGAAACTTGCCCTTTCTTCTTACTAAAGTAAATGACATTTAATTATGACTCTATTTACAAACGTTTATTTCTCTCTTCGTTATAAGTGTGACATGTTTAAAGTTTATTTGTGAAAATTCTAAAGTGTTTGTCTTCATTACTACCAGCTCTTACTAAATAATCTCAGTACACTTAAAGAGTAAATTACTGAAGATCCATGTAGGATTTTTTAGTGTTGTTCTTTACACATTTCGTGGATTCGTAGCTCTTGAGTTTGACACTTTCAATAAATATTTCAGTGAACACATCAGTGTAAGACCCGACTTACTTTCCCAAAGCTATACAGAGTAGATACAATAGCCACTTATACAAATAAATAAATAAAATAAAAAATAAAGGGTAAGGAATTAATAGCTTTATATAATAACCGAATATAATAGCATAAATAACATATAACTTTAGGTACGTTTTGCGACTTTTATTAGGTTTGAAAATTAACTCGACTATAAGTGTTAAAACTGCTGTCCAAATAATAATATAAACTGTTTCATGGTCATTGAAATAATAAATATTTTTATAGAAAACATTTGAAAATTTACAAACAATGATTCAGCTGCAAAATTCCAAGTTAAAGTTTGTTAAACACACAAAAAAAACAAAAAAAAACGCTAAAGGCATTTTCTAGAACACTAAATGAAATTAATCAACATTCTAAATATTACATGCTTTGCTGAACATGAGTAGAATCACAAAACAAATAGACGGTGGAACGGGCACAGAATCACTCATGATCGTCTTAGGTGAGTGTCACCTAATCGTAACAATGATTAGAAAAAAAAAGGTGTTTTCAGGTATATTCTATCCTTTTTTGGTTGAATATACCTTTATATAACTTTTTTACATAACAATTGGAAAAATTTAGTCCACTCCGTAATTGTTTTTCAAGTACCATTGTTGCAAAAGGTATGAAGCAACTTAAAAGCATTTAAAATTTTTCAGATGACAGAAAGAAACACGTGACTGCATATTTTTACAGTCTGATCCTGACAAATTACTTACAACGACGAAATACCAACGTTTTGTGCCGATTCATACTGATTTTTGTCTTATGCATAATACAAAAACATATTCTATTTTGAAAAATAGAAGTACCAATAAAAGTTTAAATACATATTTAATTGTGTGTGTGCGTGTTTTATCGCACTGAGTGTATTATCATTAGAAAAATAAGTTTAATTTTCCAAATTATATTCATGACAATTGTATGAAATGATGATGGTTGGATTTAAACTGAGCGAAAGTAGCTTTACGTTTTTCAAAACGTTTAATTGTTATGAGTAAGCAATTCGTAGATAATTTTTGTCGAGATGACGTAAGATATTCCTATATGAGTCACATGGAAGTCTTACCAATTAAATTAAAGCCATGTTTCTGTCTTTTTTGTGGCCTATCCAATAGAATAGCGACATTTCCAGACAATCTGCGCATGTGGGGGCATGCTGTTGTAAGTGTTAGGAAGCTGGATATTTTGTATATGTGATTGTCCTAGACTACTGATACAAAGTCACGAAAACTCTTTCATTTTTAAAACAAATGATAATTCATCCATAAAATTTTGGAATTTCACACTCATTTAACTGTTTATTACTTGTTCATTTTCTTATCGAAATGACATCTTCAACCAATGAATCGGGCATTGATCTCGATTATGATCTTAATGAACATCAGCGATTTGATTTTGAGGTAGCAACTCCTAATGCTGATTATTTTATAAGATCTACGGCAAGTTCCAGTACTACTACGAGTGCCAACGTTAACACTAACACCAATTCAATGTTTTATACACTGAAAAGTAGAACACCACCCGAAAGGTAAGCAAATTAGCGTACGTTTACTGCTAGATGAAGTATTAAATCAAAACAATTTACAAGTGAGTTATTGTGTTATGAGTTGTGGTATTTTACAGGATGAAAAATTATCTTTCCTCCTCCCCCTCCAAAAAAAAGAAAGAGATGTGGGACACACATTTGTTATTTTAACGCTTTTTTTTTCTTTAGCGTTAATGCCCAGTTTCAAAGTAGATGATCCATGCAATACAAAACACAAGGGGCGTGATTTTTATGCCAACCTGTATGTCTATTTGAGTATTTGTTGAATTTGTCTATGCCGTAAAACACAGTGTTTTGTGCTATGTTTGTATTATTGCTTCGCCATAGGGAGTTTTTACGCCACGTGATAAGTATGTGGCTTAAGACCAGACCTTTCCTGAAAGGTTACGGGATGATTTCAACGCGAATTAGTTTAAAGGTGATGATTACTTTAGTGACTCTTTATTGTTACAGTGCATGAATGATTATTGATTTAGCAAATTTGTTTAGTTAACTTTTGACTTTCAGGCAGTTAGTTAGTTCAGTTTTGTGAATACTGAGTTTTGTGTTGCCAAATAAATAGAGATTAGAAAAAGTGCCCTGCTAACAAAAGAAATTAGTAAATAAATGAATTTGTTGCAGTAGTAAGTACTATGAATTTAGGCCTGTTTGTCATTATTAGTAGAACAAAATTGAAAAGTTGCAAAACCTGAAGTTCTAGAAATAAAATTCTTTCATTATCATTAATGGCCTGCACTTTGCATTTTATTTTTATCAAATAATCTAAAAGAACCCACCCAATAATAGAAACCATTACAATAACAGTGTGAGGAGTAAGATTATGTTTGTAAAAATGAAGTAAAATCTAGTCTGAACTTCAAAATGATGATATGTGCTAAAAAGGATGTAATAAATTACTTGGAAATGATGAAACAGTGGTTATATTTGATGAAAGGTAAGGTTGAGGAAGCTAAAGAGAATGTACAGATGGATTATAACAATAAAACTGAAGAACATAAACACTATAGATATAGAATGAAGGATACACAAGGTAATAAAGGTAGCATAAATTAACAGAGTAGAATCCAAGATGAGAAATCCACAAATGATGATGAACTACTGTAATCCAACACTCATCTGAAAGATTCTCAGACAAAAGGTATGCATAAATATTAAGCTGATTATTTAGTGGATCAGGAATGGTGCTGAATGTCCCTCATGGCCAAAAGTGTCTCAATTCAGCCTAAATACAAAGATATAATTGACATAGTGGGAATTGTACAAGAAGGATTTTTATGGCAAAAATGGGAAGATGTGAGTAGACAGCAACTACAGCAATATTATATTGGAGCACCATTTAAGAAAGTTGCTCTTTTATTTGAGAGAAACAATGGGAAAAAATACATCATGATGGTGGTGGACTATTTTACCAAATGGCCTGAAACATATGCTGTTCCTCATCAGGAAGTAGAAACTCTAGCAAAGAAGCTTGACAATGAATTTCTTTCAAAATTTGAAGTACCTGTGGAACTTCACTCAGGTCAGAGAGAGAACTCTGAACCACCCTTGATTTCTGATGTGTGTCAATTTCTTAGAATCAAAAAGATCAGGACAACAACCCTTCATCCATCTTCTGATAGAATGATGGAGAAATACAACTATACAACTTTAAATCAATTAGTAGTTTATGTGGATGAGCATAAGGAAATGTAAGATTAAGATTATCCACTCCTACTCATGAATTATTGAACAGCAATATATATGAAGCTACATACAACATATCACTATCACTGATGTCCGAAAGGAAGCTACAATTGCTGTTAGACCTTCTGTGCTCACACCCTGAGTCTTGTACAGAGTATGCAGTGAAGCTGAGGAACAATATTGATGCCATACATGACTTTACCTCGAAAAATACTTAAATCAGCTAGTGATAAGATGAAATGTTACTTTAATGTGAATGCTGATAAACCTGTATTTCATTGTAGTAAGTGTATAACTGTACAATCCATTTCAAAATGAAGAACTATATCCAAAGTTAAGTAGTACTGGGAACAGCCTTATGCTGTATCAAAGTAATCAGTTATATTATTCATAGAATTCAGAAGAAGGGCATATGTTCTAAGTCAAAGGTCATCCACCATGATTTCTTTGTAAGCATATCAGCAAGAGAACAACCAACTGGTTAACTTTCTAGAAGATTTTATCAAAGTATGCTGAAGAGCCTGAGATTCTTGTCAAGACCACTTCCAGAGTATCACCAGGGATAGAGATATTGGTGGATTTCCTTAACTACCTACTTAAAGAGACACTCCCCACTCTACCAAGTGAAAACACTTAAGTTTTGATATAGGGCAAGATATCATCCTACTTTTGTATCATAAGCCACAGAAAACCATCATAAATATTGCTGACTGCACTGAATAGACAGTTTAAAGACAGTAGATGAGTAAAGAAAGAATATTTTGTTTTGTTTTTATCATAATTTTGATTATACTACTTTTATTCATACCATTAATTATTTATTGTAATGCTTTTATTTATGAATACTAATGTTTTGAATTTTCAAGAATTACTTTATTGTTAATTATGGAAATTTTGAATGCACCATTGTTTAATTTGTATGATAGAAACACTCAAACAACTTCACAGTCCTGGAAGGGGGCAGTGTTGTAGATTAATTATGTTTTCTCTAAATTTAAATGTTTGTATTGTTGTTTTGTCAAAGGGAGTTTAGATATTAGTGATGAACACATGGTGTAATGACTAGAGCTCTCTTGAAAGTTTATGACACAGTTTCAATCGGATAAAACTCATAGTGGATTAGAGTTGATGATTGATTTATTGAGCCTTTTACAGTACTTGATTAATTGTTGAGTTAGTAAATTTCTTAACCATTTTGTCTGTTAATGTCAGTCAGTTAGTTCAATTTTTTGAATACTGAGTTTGTGTTTCAATGAAGAAATAGAGATGTAAGAAAGGGTTGTACATGTACATACAAGAGAAATCTAGCAAGCAAGTGAAGTTCTTGTATTAATGTCTACTGTGAACTTTAGCTTATCAGTAAGCATTAATAAAGCTAATTTGTAAAGTTATAGAACCTGAAGTTTAAAAAATAAAGTGCTGTCCATATCATTAAATGGACTGGACTTTACATTATTATTTTTTATCAAATAATCTAAAATAACCCACTCATTAATAGAAAATATCACAATAATTAATCCTAACTAAACATGATCATTAGCATTAGTTTTATACAGATTGATCAGATTTGAATTTCGCTTGTGCATTTGTGGTGGACTGAGGGTTTGAAAGAATCCCCAATTACTTGTTTTAAAGCCTTTAAAATTTCAATGACAAAAAAGTCATCTACTATACATTTTTTATTGTAAATAAGTGATATTACATGTACAAGTTTTGCTGTAATCTTATCTCCCCACAACTTATTTGGAAATTTCAAAAGCAGGAAAAATGTGTTTATTGTTTGAAATCAACACTGGCTGAGTGTGCATGACATGAATAGCATCACAGCTTTCTTATTATTTCTTCTAAAATTGATTGATATGGGAAGATGTATTTGAAATTTTTGAAAAAGGATATTTCAGTTCAGGCATTAAGTGTCATTGCCAAAAATTCACCATACATTGTATGTGTAAAAAATAATATAATCTGTATAATTTTGAAATGTGTTAGATTAGTACATGTCAATAAAACTTCTTAAGACAGAAAAGAAAAAAAAAATCTATTTCCCTAAAACATTAAAAGTAAGAAAATTATCTTCTATTACTTTTATAATAGACTCTGTAGAGAAGATAAGAAAGTGATAAAGATTATTCTGCCATTAAGTTCAATAGTAAAGCAACACAAGCTAAATGTAGCCCTTGTTACTCATATGCATGCTCATGCCCTACACACTAAAAGAATGTTAATGTAAAGGCACTACCACATCATCAGAGAAACCATTTTTTAACTATATAATTCTTGGAGAGAGATATGTGCTAAAGAAAAAGGGTGGATCTGAGCTTCCAGTACTTATTATTATCTGCAGGAATGCCACCCTTTGTGTCATTTGTGCTAGTAATTACTAATCATAGTATTCATATCTCATTGAAAAAAAATTAGAAAAAGTGAACATTTTATAAGAAAGGATTTTTCTTGAAAGTATTGCAAGGGAAGAGTGTTCAGATTATGCTGATATAAACTGTAATTTTTTTACATATTGAAAGTGATACCATTTATTGAAAAAATAAGTTTTTTTAAGAACTCCGTTTTTAGTACTATATTTACAAATAACATCAATAAACATATAATCAAACCCTCACTACAGTCCTAGTTATGGTTGTTGTACATACCATAGTTATTTTTCTAATTGTCTGAACCTTGAATACCCAAAGTGTGAAATTTTTTTATGGATCTTTGTTTGTGGTGCCATTCAATAGATGGCACCACATTGCATTTATTATTATGGTCACATAGATAGATACATGTATAGGTGCTACATCCATTATAGTAAGATAACTCCTGTTAGCGTGTGTGTGTGTGTGAGGCACAGGTATGCATGTGCCTCAATCACATAAATGTAGACAGGATCAACTACTCCAGCCTCTCCTCTTATCTAATGTTTTTTAATCATAAATTTCCCATACTTGAACATGCAGTCAGTAAAATTGGTTGCTACTTTTTTATTATTATTATTTATGGATGTATGTGGTATAATATTTACAGTATGCCACTGTTTTGTTTAAAAGAAGCTGAATAGGATGTGAAACATTAAATATCATTAACAGTTTTTTTGTTTGTTTTTTATTTCGTGCAAAGCTACACGAGGGCTATCTGTGCTAGCCGTCCCTAATTTAGCAGTGCAAGACTAGAGAGAAGGCAATTAGTCATCACCACCCACTTCCAACTCATGGGTTACTCTTTTACCAAGGAATAGTGGGATTGATCAGCAGTTACAATGCCCTCACATCTGAAAGGGCGAGCATGTTTGGTGGGATGGGGAT